AACTTTTCTTGTACTTTGGATAAATGAATTGATATCTTGCATCTTTAAAGGGTGCTCTATATCTGCAAAGCCTGAGTACTGCACTAGGCTGCTGATTTCCATGGGAATACTTGGAAGCATCCTAGGAGTCTGCAGTCTTTGGAGGTGCAGATTGTAAAGAGATATGCTTGAGGTTTTGGTGACTTGGATTGCCATAATGTGTGTCATGGAAACAAGAGAAGGAAAAGAGATTTTTCTTCCCTCTTGAATGATCCCTAATGCTTTGAGGTTTGGATTGATTTTTTTTTTTTTCTGGATCTTTTCTTGATGTGGTTGGCATGTATTTGATTTTAAAAACTTGTCTGAAGATATAAAAGAGAAAGTAATGATCATCTGGTAGGAAAACCATGCACATATGCACTTTCATGTTGAGAAGTTTAATTTGAATAATGTAATTTGGATAAGAATTGATGGCTTAAATAAACATCATTTTCAGTTTTTTTTACATCAAAGTCATTGTAATATAACACTTTTGGGCAGTTAAGAAGATTAATGGATATTCTGGACTTAATTGCTTTCTGCTCTCTTTTCCTAAATGACTATTTTGTTTTTCTGTTTTGGCATTTTGTTCAACGTTTCACTTCAGCATGGCAAGAAGTGGATTTGGCCCTGCTATCCATTTAATTCCTGAGGTACCTGTCACTGCCTGCAGAAGAAAGTTGTCATCACATAAAACTTGATGTCAAGAGAAATATTGCTGTTACTTTCCAGGGCAACACGTAAGAAATAATGGTCAGGTCAGCCTGTCTTTATGAGATCTTAGAAGGATGTGCACAATATGGCATGCACATGCCCATACACCAGAATCCAAGGCAAATGTGCTGCAAAAATACCTAGCAAAATTGTTCCAGAGCAAGTAAAGGGGACTCACTGCTGTTCCAACTAGGACAGGCTTTGCATATAGGGCTCCAAAAATACTTTTTCAGTGTAATACAGTTATAGACTGTGCTTTCCCATGGAAGTTTAAATTGCATTGTTTCTGTCCTGACTTGGGATGTCTTTGACACTTCTCAGCAGTGAGTGTGACTGGCAGAATCCAAAGTTTGTAAAAAACTGGAGATAGCAAACACTTCTGAAAATCATACATAATGTTGTAGTCAATATAGCCATCTGTGATGATAAAAAGAAAATCAAATACATTGTTTTAATAGTCGTAATTCAAAAAGAGACAAGGTAAATTTAATAAGAGAGACTGTAGGGCTACTGAGTAGAAAGACGTGTATGGCTGAAAAACTTCCATGGGCTACAAAGACCTGGAGACAATGTTCAGGAGAAGTATCTGTTATATTAAATGCCTCCCTGATTCTAGCTTTCCTTCCAGCAGGATCAAAATGTAATCTGTAGGAAATAGCATACTAAGTTAGATAGCTGGAATCTTGTTCCTATGACTATTGTAAGATTTTGGCACTAGTAGACAGGGGAAAAAAAATCCCTACTTTGCTTCTTCAGAAGCAGGTCAGAGCCATAATTTGAATTGCAACTGTGTGGCTGTGTGATTCTTTGCAGGTGTTGTGAAGTACATGCTACCTTCACTCCCAGTGTGAATCATGTTGTATTCTAGGAAAATAGATTTCTTCTATCATATCTACTATAGTGCAGTTTCCTTTCTTTTGGATTGCAGCTTCTGGTTTAGAAATAAAGAACCATTGACTCTATGAAGGAAACTCTAGATCATTGCAAGTCATGTTAGGGAAGCTTTTGGCATGCCTTTAATTTGTTTAAGCAGAGGATCAAAGTCATTACTGCTGTAGTCTTTGCAATATTGCCCTCTGTTTGATCCTTCTAGTTGTCATTGCATTAGAGCCCTTGTCAGGGTATATTTATGTGCAATGACTTTCTCAGTGCACTTTTTGAATTGGAGAGGAACTGGTCTCTGGAAACCAGTGTTGTACTGTGCTTTAACTTTTCCCTATGGCATTAGGGAAATCAGCAGTCTTTGAATTTCTGTGATTCTAATATTCCATGTAATCATTTAGCTTGGAAAAGGCCCTTCCAATTGAGTCCAATTGTGAACCCAGCGCTGCCAAGTCCATCACTAAACCATGTCCCTAAACACCACATCTACATGTCTTTTAAATACCACCAGGGATGGTGACTCCACCACTTCTCTGAGCAGCCTGTTCCAATGCCTGAACACCCTTTCAGTGCAGAAATTTTTCCTAGTATCGAGCCCAAACCTCACCTGGCACAACTTGATGTCGTTTCCTCTTGTCTGTCACTTTTTTCTTGAGAGAAGAGGCCAACTACGATCTCCAGGCTGAACAGCTGCTGCTCTCCTAGCCTTTCCTCTTTGGAGAATACTTAAATACTGTAATGTTTTAGCTCTGGCATGTGTACATGAGTCTGCAGTAGCCAAATCTAGCCTACTCGAAGCTTTGTTTTACACTGGAAAAAAAAAGGCAAAAGAAAAGATATATAGTGTCAGCTAGTCTATTTGAAACACACTGAAAATTACTAGAAAGTAACTTCCTGCCTTCTCCTTATTTGAGTGGAGAATTTCAGACTTGGCAATAAGGAAAAAGGCTAATTTTGGGGCTGTATACAGTAAGAGAACTCCATCTAAAAATATAATTACAGGTTGAACTGTACCAAACCAAAGCAGTAACTATGTTTGTTTTTTTTTTTTTTTCATTTCAAGTTTAAAATTCTTGCAAGGTGTTAAATGTTTTAAAGTTCAAGTAGATTTAAATGATAAATATCTACACTTACATCAGGCATTTCACAATTTCTACAGAAGTGTGCAGTTGTAAATATGTTGCTACTAGGTGTACTGACAGTTAGTAGCTTACAGTGGGTAAAATATTTTGGTTATGCTCTTTGAGGTGGGCTTGTGTTTGGGGTGAATAGAACTGGTATTGTTAGTGGGGACGTATGGAGCCTGGGAAGCATTCACTTTCTGAAAACCCATGCCAGATATGACCATCTTGCAACTCTGCTGTTATTTGGTATCACTAACTTCCTTTCCCTCTTCCCTTCCCCCCAAAAAAGAGAAGTTCTTTTTTAAAGGAAATCCTGTTTATGCTTTCAGGAAATAATTTTTCTGGTTAGTCTGTTTAGTTTTGTTTTCTTTCTATTAATCTGTTCAGGAATGCTGATAACACTTGGAATTTTATTTTGTGCCTCTGCAGTTGCATTTTTTGATGCATGAGGAGTTGCTGGTAGTGGCAATACCATCTAAATACCTTTCCTGTCAGTCGTGGTTTGATTATCAGCTGCTGCAGGTGTTTCTTGTTCTTTGGCCTCTTCCTGGGAAAGAGCATTTAACATCTACTCTTCCCTTTTATCTTCTGCCTTTCTTCTACCACAAGCCTCGTTGCCTTAGCTGTAGAAATATTTTGGGGCAGTAATTTTTATATAAAGACCACAGTCTATTACTCCAGCTCATGTCACAGCTTGAGAGCAATTGAAGTGATATTTTGGAAGTGTTGCTTCTTGGTTTTGCTTAATTTCTTAAAGGAATGTGAAAAGCAGTTAGTGAATCATTGGAAATACACTTTTTTCTTTCTCTTCACCCTGCCCAACTACTAACTTTAGCCATTTATTTTTTTTATTTTCTTCTGGTGGGTTTAATATCTTTTCACTCCAGTTCAATTTATAATCATCTCTCAAATCTAAGCATGTTAATTTAAACAACTTTCTGTGGAGAATGATTCTCTAGGGCTGGCTGACGGATTAAGTGGCAGTACCTTGGTTGTGAAGCAACCTACATTTGCACATTCTCCAGTCGTTTCCCATTAAAACTTAAATCCTTGTTCTGTTGTGGCACCTTTAAAAAGCAGAGTTCTCCCTTACATCTAAATGTTATGAAAACCAGGCATACGGTAACCCAGAACCCCAAGGAATGCTTGATTGAAATAACAGATCAGAAAAGTCTCTTGCTAACATTCCTGTGATTATAGGTTTACTCAAGTGACAGAAACTTGGTGTCAGCCAGCTTTTGGCATACAGCCTAATTTTGGTCAAAAAATAAATAGATCTTAAAAGCTTCAGTGATGCAGTATTTGTAGGGATAGGTAACTTTTTAAAATGTAAGTGTTCACTGCATTTCCTCTCTCTAGAATTATCCCACTTGCTGCTCATTGGGTGGTTGGTCTGGTTCCTGCTGCAGAGTAGAATGATTATCTGTTAGTAATTACTGAGATTTGAGTAGAATGAGTGAAGGGAAACCCAAATGACTCCAATCTTAGCTCCTCACAGGTAAACAAAAAGACAGCTTTGGTTTAGCCAGCTCTGTTCTTCTGTAGTATCTTACATGGGTTAATTTTTAATATGTATTTGGGTTTCTTTTGTTTGTAACTTGTATCTAGAGTTTGACATCCTGCATAAAGGTCTGAAGACAGTGATACAGGAAATTCAGGAAAAGCTTTTAAAAGAGAAAATAAGAGAAGGAACATCCATAGGTTATGATTTACATGTAAAACCCCTCCAGTATCAGTGAGAAGTTAATTCTGAAGTGGTGTATTACATCATGCAGTGAATATGGTGAAGGAGAAAACGGATACCTTGCTTTCATTTTCGCATGACCAAATGACTTTAATACATGATGTGAACACATAAAACAGAAATCCAAACTCATTTAACATATTTTGAACGTAACCGTTTTTCTCAATTTGTTTTAGAGGTATTTGAATGAGTAAACTGAACACTTAAGTTCCCCTAATGTTGTTGATCTCAGACATTTAATTTTTAATGGAGCTTAGCAAATAGGTAGTGAGAGGCCCTGTGGCATAGGACACTATTTGCGGCGTTAATACATGTGAAGATGCACGTGCTAGAAGTTACAGTGCAGTGAATTCCTATTCTGGTGTGTACAAAATGAACACCAGCTGCTTTAAGCTTAGTTTAAAGCTTCCTGGAATTGTTCCAGGTTCAGATATTGAAGGTCTTTCTATTTCAGAGTTGATACTCATGTTTGTTCTCTCTCTCTCTCCCTCCCCCTCCACCTCTTTCTCCTTTTGCAGGCAAGGGCAGCTCAAGCATCTCATCCGACGTGAGTTCAAGTACGGATCACACACCCACCAAAGCCCAGAAGAATGCAGCTACCAGTGAAGGTAGGCAGCTGGTACTCATTACCCAGGCCAGGCCCCCCAGCACAATCCTCGCAGGTTTCAGAAGAAGAAACTCTCCTCCTCATTCCTTCTGTGCAGAGTAGCATTGGTCTGCTAGAAATTCTTCCTTTAAACAGTTTTCACTTCTACCTATGGTAGTTTCTGATTTGAATTTGTGACAAAGGATTTAAGATAGTTCTGCAGAACCCAAATGTAGAGAGTTGGGAGTAATTTTGTATGCCACTTTTTCAGCAAAGGCTTTCATACTTAAGGTTTTATATGACCTTATTTTGCAGTTGTATTTGAGGGATATGATTGATGGAGGCTTTTTGACATACAATTTAAGTCAAATATCAGTCAAAATTCTTTTCATACTGTGAACACCATGAAAATGTGACTTGTTTGAGCCAGATGTTTCAGAAGTGTAGCTGTAGACATCCTGACCTGACAGATTTAATTAGGTCAGTACAGCTCACCTATAATTACTGGAGTATGTCATCACCGGGGCTAGATTTTTAATGTCCAGGGGAAGGAGATGTCGTATTTTTCAGCGTACTAACTGGCCTATGAACAGAGAAATGCTGATTTTTCCTTTCTGACTTATTACATGTAAGTGTGCTCTTTTAAATGGAGGCCTATTTGCCCTAGTTTTATAATTGTCTTTTAAGGCTGAGAGGAAATAACTATATATAGTTTAATGTTGTAAGCCAGAAAGATTTTTTAAAAATTGTACATTTATACTCCTTAACCAGTATTTCTGTTTAACTCTGTCATAATGATTTGGTTATATTTGGTAGCAATCAAGTTATAATTCTGATTTCTTACACTTCTGTCACTTAAGTTGCAAGCTCTGATTGCTCTCAGACTAGTTTTATTTCTTATAGTTAAAGGAAATCATACTTTTGAATAGTTCTAGTGTGGCAAGTCTGACTATGACTGTAGAATCTGTTCAGTAAAAGCAGTTCATGTAAGTAATAAATGACCACATAAATAACAAGAATTCTGTTGTTAGGCATGCATAATACCATACCAAGAATGAATATCTAGCACCTATGAATCATAAGAAATACTAGTTAGAATCTGTGATTTTTAGTCCATCCAATAAATTTAAGAACAAACAAATACGTGGTTAATAATTTAAAATTGAATAATAGATTTCATGTTTCTATAAACCTTAGATTCAAGTTTGGAGGTACCTGAAAGAGGTGAATTACTAGGGCGCAAAAAAAATTTAGGAAATGTATTCTCTATATGACAACCAGGAAAGAAAAAGAAAGAAACTGCAAAAGAATAGTGGAAAATCTGAAGTCAATACTTAATAATTGCTCTGAATTTCTTTTCCAGTCTGTAAAGCATTTTTTCCTTTGGATTCAAATAAGATAATGCAAAATAATCCTTTACTATTCTCTATCATTTATGTTCTTAATTTAGCCCGTTATTGAGCCAGTGAATATAAATGTTGACCTTGAAATCTTCTCCACTAGTTTGCAGCAGATTAACTAATTAGTGAGGGAGGCTTAAATGCAGGCCAGCAGTTGCTGTAATAGAAATGTTTTTATGAGTTCACATGCAAAATCAGAGTTCAGAGCAGTGTAATTGTGTATTCTGTACTTGGAGGCAATTTCAGTTGTTAGCCTAATTTTTCTGTTCCCTGGAATAGCATGATTTGTCAAATACTAATTTTGACAATAGGTTCAAAAGTAGCTTCTTCCTCAGCTTGTGCTATTACTACTTTCTTACTATTTCTTTCTTCTCAAGAATGAATAATGTGGAGCAGTTTAATAGAAATCACCTTAATGTGGATTACTGCATAATCTGGCAGATATTTTGAATGCCATAGCCAGGGAGCATAAGAATTCTGTGAAGGCAAGTGAGACTAGAGATATAGAAGTAGTTGGGGCAAAACAGGCGCTATTCAAACTGGTGCTGTTACTGGAAGACACATTTATCAATTTCTGTGTCTGGATTTTTTACTAATGCTGCCTCTTTCCCCCATGAACAGTAGACTTGTGCTGAAGGAGGATTCAACTGATATGAAAGACTCATACCTTCCACAAGATGACTTGAGTTCTGTTCTTACAGAAGGCTGAATGTTTTATAACATTCAGTTTTAGAGTAATGTCTAGGGGCCAGGTAAGAACAGGAGTATGATTGTGTTAGTTGCTGTACAAGCAGTGGCACTTAGGTATTTTGGAGTGGTTGCATAACATTTTTTAAACTGTTAGTTAAATTTACCTAGTCCACTGTAGTATTTGCTTGCTATGGTACAATCCCTCCTCTGCCCAGCACCGAGGGTGGTACATGTATCTTTATTTTCACTGGAAGCTGTTTACTGCAGGGACAGAATGCTCCAATTCTGCCTGTATTGTGAATTCACAGCACTGTGTGTTTTTCTTTGAAGGAGCCATGTGTTGTGTGGAGAGCTGTGTGCAGCCAGGTTTGGTGTGGGAAGGACTAGGAAACATTGCAGGTGAACTCCTCTTCACCTTCATTGTCATAGGAAATGATCCTGATTGAGCAAGTGGCAGACAGCTTCTTTGCATCCTCTGAATTTCTGTTGCCAGCTGCATTCCTGAGTGCCCAGCTCTGTGAAGTGTATGGTATTTGTTTGGGACTGAAGGCTGGGTCAACGGAATGAATGCCTTGTAACAGCTAGAAAGGAAATTTGTGGGACTGATCCATCCTAGCTCTGGTACTCTACAGCAGAGAAGCAGTCATGTAAAGTACTACTTAGGCAGCTACATATTCCCAAGAACTGCAAAAAGATGTCAAGCAGGACTCGCTTGGAAGAGCAGACCACCTCAGGAAGTATCTGACAGCGTTATCTTGCCATCAGTTTAAGCAATCAAACCACATTCTTCATCCTGATGACTTCAACCACATTATCTGTCCAGTTTCAGAGTTCTGATGTTTCTCTATAGAATGGGTACCAGAAATAGGTAACAAGATGCTTGAAATGGCTTTTGTTTTTCCAGTCAGAGATATCCTGTTACGGCAACATTGTTTAACTCTCTTGATGGGTGTGAGTGGTGCAGTTATGGCTAAAATAATGGTACTCTCCCTCATATTGTGGATTTAGAGCATCTATAGAGTAGTGGAATATTTTATGTTTCAAAAAGACAAAATGTTGGCCGTGCTGTTGAGTGTGTCAAGGACAGTGTGTGTTGGCTTCCTTAGCTGAACAAGCTTCACTTGGTGATGCATCAGAGAGGTAACCACTACTGGTTTTGCTGCATAGAGGAAAGCGGACAGTACCTGGCAGACTGTGCAGCTTCCTAAATTCAGGCTTTGACACATCAGTGATGAACTTGAGAGGGATGCAGAGGCACTGAAACTGGAGTCCAGTGGCTCTCACGTTGTGTACTTCAGTGAAGGGAAGGTGGCAAAACCCAGATGTCTGGTCCTCTGTGTAAATCACAGGCTAGAGATGCCTGTTTGTTTGCTACAGCTTGACTCAGAGGGAAATGTGGTAGCCTGTGGGTGTGCAAGCACACTGATGCCTCCACACTGTCTCCTCTTCTGAGGATACAGTTTTGTTTAGCTTACTGCATACACTGCCTTTTACTTCTTTTCCAGTCTCAGACATTGTCTGCAATTCTTTACCCTATCAATCAACTATAGCTAGAAACGTGAGAACACATGAGTTTTTACTACCCCCCATTGCTCTCTGGCAAGTGAAAGACTAAATGGATTTTTTGTGGGCCATTTAAATGCAATTTCCTAGACACAGTCTCAGCTGGAATATTATTGTCTGAAACTTGATTTAGAAGATTAGACTGAATGACTGTTTTTGTATGGGCTTACCTTGATCAGGGAGCTTTGTTCTAACACTTACCTGCAAAGCGTGGAATGTTATGTCCAAGCTGGACACTGTATTAACTTGACTGACTGTTTTTGAAATAAAAAATCAATACTGTTTGCACTTCAGGTATAGCACCATTAATGTAGAGGCAGCTTTAAATTGAGAGCTCATGTATGAGCTCAATGTAGAGGTTCTAATTTATTTCTCAGTTTCTGTAAAATCAAATTGAAGGATTAGGTCTGAAGTAAAACACTATTTTAGTAGAAGGGCTCAATGCTGAAGTACCTCTGAATATATTCCATTAAATCTTAGTATTTTGAGTTTGCAAAAGCACAAAGAAGCTGCTGTATTTTGAAGAAGTTAAAGTTTTATCTGCTTTTAGTTGACTTCCAGGGACCTTCAAAGAACTAAGTATTTTACTTTTTTTCTGACAATTCTAGAGTACACTGTTTAGTGTGGAGATCAAATGAATTTGTTTTGGCAGTAGCTGTATGCATCTTGACACAGGAGGTATTTCTTCTGCAGTTTAGGTCTGTACTAGAAGAGCTCTCCCTTTCATAGCTGTATCCTCCTTCCTGTTTTATTTGGGTTTTGCAGTGGTTCTGCTGGACTTGACAGTGCTGGGTTTACCGTTGCACTTGATGATCTCAAGGGTCTTTTCCAACCTAAATGAGTCTATGACCCTCAGAGCAGCAGGGTCTATAGCCTGGTGGGTACAATTACATTCTTTAGAAGCCCCAATAAATCATCTTGTGTGAAAATGTAGCACTTTGCAAACATGTAATGCTTTAATTGCTCATGCAAAACAAGTTCTGCTGTACCCTGTGCAAGATGATGGCTTGGTTGATCAGAATGTGTTTGGTGCCCTTGGCCATCCTTTTTTTGCAGGACCTGGCCACTGAAGCTTCTATATAGAAAACTTCCTTTTTCCAGAAAAAAATTGACCTCAGTATCAGAAAACATTTATCACTATTCTACATAGGAATGTATGAAATAACATTTCTTGAACACAACTTTGAGTTGTGTGCTTATCATTTCACCTTAAAAGTGAAGGAAAAAGCACTTCTAAAGGGTACTTTCAGGTAGGCTGTAATTAGTTTAATTTCTTTTGGCTTCATAATCACATTGTTTCAAAACGTGATATCTTTTGGATCTCTGAGTAATTATTAATTTATTCAATGAATTTAAGAGGAGAAGTTCT